GTTTCGTTCTGCTGTGCATGGGGTCGCTATGAGTCGGAAACGACTCAACGGCACTTAACAACAACAACAACATAACTGACATACAACAAACTGCATATATTTAAAGTGAACAATTTGGTAAGCTTTTGAAATACGTGTACAACCATGAAAACATCATCCAGGTTGGGAAAATTTAAAGGCTGCAAATGAAGAACAATGATCCCAATTAGGCAGCTAGAAGAACATGTGACCTTAGATGTTCCACTAAGGAGAACGAAGAGTATTAGGGGACCGATGATGCGGTGTGGGATCAAAAGGTCGACTCCGAGTTCCCTATCTGACAAGTACGTTCACCTGGCCCAGTTAGTTCACTTCTTTGGTTTGATTCTCAGGGCCACCCAGCCCACAGCCTGGAAGCAGGCCTAGCAAGGACCCGAACTGCCAGCAGTATTCTTTCCCGCATTTCCAAAGCCCACCCCTACGCCTCTCTCTGAGAATAAAAGTTGCGTCAGTGGCGGGCTCCCGAAGACCACGCCTCTCGAGGCCTTCCCTGGAGATTTTGGCTCCCAGCGTGCAGCGCGCCCGCTGAAAAGTAGGACTACAGGAAGGGGGAAGTGCAGAGACTTCCGGCCGGTGTGATTTGTTGCTGCATGTGAGCTTCAGAGTCTTCCTAGGTGAGTTCAGAACCTCCTTGGTAGGGCGTTGGGCATTGGACTTGATTCCGCCGCTTACAGAAAATGTCAGCACATTCTTGTCCCTCTCTGAACCAAGCGTGGCCCTTAGACTCAGGCTTCCCTCAAAGGCGAGGGGTTCCCGTGGTCTGAGGGCAGCCATGCGACTTCCCCGTGCGCAGGTTAACCCCGATCCTTAAGGTTGTTGTCATCGAATTGAAGTTGTGACCTTTCGGAAGATCACCAGATGTGCCTTCTGAGGCGCTTCTAGGTGGGTTCGACCTGCCAGCCTTTTAGCTAGTAGTCCAGCGTTTAACATTTTTTGTGCCTCCTTCACAGTCCTGTCTCAGTCCCTCAAGGGGCTTGAGTTGTTGTGGACAAAGGGCAGAGTGAATTTGGTTGCTGGCGTTCAAAAATTGTCACTCAAGGAGTGTGTTTTTTAGTTTTCCATTTGGTAAATATTTGTCCTTTACATGCATTGGAGGATCCAACTGTGAACAAAGTGTACTCAGTCAAAATATACTTTGTTCCTGCCTTCATGGATCCAGTAGGAAACAGAAAATTTAGATAATTTCAAGTTGTATCACGTTTTAAAGAAATAAACGGATGATGGGATAATGACTAAAGGGAGGGCAGCATACCTGCGTCAGAGAAGCTCTCAGGTAGTGCAGTTTACGCCACGTGAAGGAGTACTTGATCCTTGGGAAGAGCATTTTCCAGGCAGAGGAACAACAAATGTAAAGGTACTGAGGTGGACATAATTTGGACTCTTTCCGATGTAATTGGAGCCTGGAGGTGGAGAGTGGGATGAGGTAGAGTTAAAGGAAGAGGCAGGGGCAGGTTGAAAAGTAGTGACATGCTACAGGCTTTTAAATGCTCACACTAACCATCTTGGGACTGGGATTGAGGATTGTAGAGAAAGCAAGACAAATTTAAAATAGGTTGGCTATAATGAGGAACAGGGTGAATAATGAGGGGGAGAGAGTAGGGGTAGGTTTGGGGAAAATCATGATTCAATAAAAGATGTTTATAAAAACGTTTTGTAATTTGTAAACTGTTTAGAAATGTAAGATGATGATGCTCTTTGCATTCTGGAGAAATTAAATTTCTTACTTTGTAAGGAAACTTGAAGGAGCTTTCAGAATTGGCTTCATTTTTGGTTTGCTAAAGGAATGGACACTGATGGATGTTGGTGTTCTCAATTCTTATGTAATGACTGTATGTGCCATCTTGATTCTCACGTAAATTACATGTTAAATCATCATAAATCGTTTCACTTTCCCTTTGTGTTTTGTAGAGGTATCTGTTGGCCTGGTTTTCTAAGGAGTTGCCTCTTTTGGGGGGAGCGGTGTAGTAAATATGTTTTTGTGTATGTATTTTTGTTAACTTTCCAGTTAAAACATGGCTAAAAGCTTACGGAGTAAGTGGAAAAGGAAGATGCGTGCTGAAAAGAGAAAAAAGAATGCCCCAAAGGAGCTCAGCAGACTTAAAAATATTCTCAAAGTAGATGGTGATGTTTTAATGAAAGATGTTCAAGAGATAGCAACAATTGTGGCACCCAAACATTGTCAAGAAAAAATGCAGTGTGAGATGAATGATGAGAAAGGTGAGTTCATGGATTTGTATTATACGTACATATGTATGTATAAGGAGCTTTTGTGGTATAGCGGGTAATGCATTTGCCTGCTAACCAGAATGTCAGTGGTTCAAACCCACCAGCTGGTCTGCAGAAGGAAGATGAAGCAATCTACTCCTGTAAAGATTTACAGCCTTGGAAACCCAGTGGGAATTGCTATGAATCTGAATAGACTCAAAGGCAATGGGTTTGGTTTTTTGGTGTATGAGGAGCTCTGGTGGTACAGTGATTTAAGTGCTCAGCTGTTAACCAAAGGTTGGCAGTTCAAACAACTAGCTGTTCCATGGAAGAAAGATGAGGCAGTCTACTCTATTAAAGATTTACAGCCTTAGAAACCCTGTGGGGCAGTTCTGTTGTCCTATGGGATTGCTGCAAGTCAGAATCAACTTGATGACAATGGGGATTCTGTGTGTGTGTGTGTGTGTGTGTGTGTGTCTATCTATTTTTTTATCATTTTCCTTTCTGTGACTTTTTCCCTTTTTGGCCTTCCTTCACCCTCACATACTCCCCTGCAAACTTCTTCCTGCCATGCCCACATTTTTATTCTTTGAAGGCTTGTACTCATAGAGATTATATTCTGAATTATTTTAAAGCCAGCTCATGTGAATAGGCATATTTTGGGTCATTCAGGATGGGTCTTTCATGGTTGCCTAAATGTCTCAGGAATAGGTATACTATAGGAATAGACAGATCTAAACAACAGTTCAATCAGAATCTAGGAGGTCTTTCTTCATTTTACCCTTTGCAAGATATAGTTCCTGTTCTATGAGTCCTTATGCTCCAAACCAAAACCAAACTCACTGCCACCGAGTTGATTCCAACTCATAGCAACCCTTAATTAGGGTTTCCAAGCCTGTAAACCTTTATGGAAGCTAGCTGCCCCATTTTTCTTCCGTGAAGTGGCTGGTGGGTTCAAACCACGACCTTGTTTTGGTTAGCAGCCAAATACCTTAACCACTATACTACCAGAGTTCCTTAAGTCCTTATACTATTATTCTTAAAATCACAAATTTTTGCTGTATTTGATTTTGACAGGTTCTAGAGACCTCTGTGTCTTAATCACACTCTAAAGTTTGAAGCTATGTGATGCTAATTTTAAAGTTTAGAGTATGTGATGCTAATTTCAGCAGAAAAGCTACCTTGTTTTTCACTTCCTAATGTAATTTGGCCATACACTGAATGAACTGCTCTCAATGTCCAGACTCTTAAAGTCTATCTATTTGGTGTACTATGATGAAGGAAGAAAGCAGCATCCTTCAACCTTCCAATCCTAGACGTTTCCTTTCCCGTTTCTTCAGAATGTCCATTTATTTTTTCCCATTCCATACCTCTGCTACCCTACACTAATAAAAACTATAAAAAGCTTTTTACCTCACCTCTTTTGAAAAAGAAGAGAAATACCCTCATCTCCTTACTACTCAAATCTATAAGCCTCTGAATATATAGTTTCTGTTCTCCTTTGATTAATACTTCTTTCGAAGGCCGGTTTCTCCACTAGTGTTCTGAGTCCTTTCCCTGTTTGCCTTCTGATGGACTGTACTCACACAGTAATCTTTTTATAAATCTTTCCTCCTTTGCTGGGTCATTCCCAGCAGCATCAACATCTTCACATAAATATTGAAAGAGTAAAGGGGGGGGAGGAAGAATGAACCTTCCCTTGACCTAACATTTGTCCCATCCACTGCTTTATTTAACTGCACTTGTTGCAACTTCTTGAAACAGTTTGCATTGCTTGCATTGCTTACCATTTCCATTTTCTCTCTCTCTCTCTCTCTCTCTCTCTCTCTCTCTCTCTCTCACTCTCACACACACACACACACCCCACTAGTAGTCATTTTTTTTTTTATGTAAAATTTAAAAAATTAATTTTTTTAAAGTTTACAGTTCAGGACCATTTACTACTTTCACAATGTTGTGCATCCATCATATCTATCTAATTCTAAAACATTTTTATCACCCCCCCAAAAAAATCCCATACTCATTAGTTTCTTCCCTTTCCCACCTCCTCTCATTCCTTACAAACTCTAATCTGCTTTTTGTCTCTATGGGTTTACTTATTTTGTATATTTGACATAAATGGAATGATACAATATGTAGCCTTTTGTGTCTGGCTTCTTTAATTTAGCATGTTTTCAAGGTTCATCTATGTTGTGTGTGTATCGGTATTTCATCCCTTTTTATGGCTGAAAAATATTCCATTGTGTATATATATTGTATGTATTTATACAATATTGTATATTGTGTGTGTATATATATTTTCTATGTCCAGTTCATCTGTTGATAGACATGTGAGTTATTTTCATTTTTTGGCTGTTGTAAATAGTGCTGCTGTGAATATGTATATACAAGTTTTTGTTTGCATATATGTTTCACTTGGGGGTTATATACTTGAGAGTGAAATTCCTGGGTAATATGTAATGCTATGGGTTTTTTTTATTTGTTTTGAGAAACTGCTAAACTGTTTTCCACATTGCTGCACTATTTTATATTTCCACCAGCAATGTACAATGTACAATGTACAAGGACTCCAATTTCTCCATCTCCTAGCCAGTATTAGTTATTTTTCAGTTTTTGTTCTTGTTATTTTTACCATAACCAGCTTAGCAGGTGTGAGGTGGTATCTCACGGTGGTTTTGGTTTTCATTTCTTCAATGACTGATGAATAGCCACAACAACGGACTCAAACATGGTAATGATTCTAATGATGTTGACTGATTTATTGGCCTTTTTATATCTTCTTTGGAGAAATGTCTGTCAAGTCCTTTTCATCTTTTTAAATTGAGTTGTCATTTTGTTATTTAAGAGCTCTTTGTGTCTGTGTGTCTGTGTATTATTTTCTCTCTTTATTTGAAAATTTTTTGTTTTTTAGGTGAAAGTGTTCATAGCATATCAGTTTTCTATTCAATATTTCATACACACGCTGTTTCGTGGCATTGGTTGCAATCCTTGCAATGGGTCAGTGCTGTCCTGTTTCGTGGGTTCCTGTTTCCATTCCTTTGGTTTCCCTGCCCACTTCCTGCTTTCTCATCTTTGTTTTGGGGCAAATGTTGCCTGTTTGGTCTCGTATAGTTGATTATTCTAAGGATCACAGTGTTACGGTTTATTTTATAGGCCAGTCTATTATTTGGTTAAGAAGTGGCCTTTGGGAGTGGCTTCAATTCCACATTAGAAGGGTGACTTAGGGCAACAGTCCTAAGAGTTCCCCCATTGTCTGTCAGTAAGTCTGGTCTTTTTTGTGTGAATTTGGGTTTTGTTCTATCTTTATCTCCAATTCTAACCAGGATCTTCTGTTGTGTGTCTGGTCAGCATGATTGGTAGTGGCAGACAGGCACTATCTAGTTCTTCTGGTCTCAGCCTAGAGAAGACTGTGGTTCATGGGAGTTAAGAGTTCTTTATATCATCTGATTACTAGATGCCCATTCATTCCTGAATTTCTTGGATCAATCCTCTAATTTTCTTTTCTGTCCTGTGCAGTGTAGTAAATTACATAGTGTGGCTTTTCTAGCCTTAAGTCTTTGTGAACTCCATGGTGGAATTTGCCATGAGCAACTAAGTAGCTCCTGATAAAGTTATCCATGTAAAGTATTTCTGTTGTGAGTGGCACAAAGTAATCTTCTGGGAAGTTCTCTCTCAGTTGTATAGAATTCTGATGTTGGAATTGGTTCACTCTACCAGGCTCAAAAGGAGCCCTCCTAGAGGCAGAAGGAGTCTCTCTGGCTGCTGGCTGAGAAAGACGTGCTGCTGAGAGAAATGCGTTCTTGAGAGACACAAGAGACACACACTACTGAGAGAGTGATGTGCTAGTGAGATTGCCAGCTGCTGAGTGAGTCGGCCAGCTGCGAGAGACTGGGTGCATTTATGAACTTTAATTGTTTGCTGGTGCTTCCCTAATAAACCCCATAATCTGTGAGTTCTGTGTGGCCACTGCAGCAAATTATCACACCCAGCAAAGAGGTGGTGGGTGCTGTGGGAGGAACGGTTGGTATCAGGGTTCATGAAAGGGCTGGAGGGAGGTGGCATGTCTGGCCTTACAGGAATAGGCCTTGGGCTACTGTTGGTGCTTCTGTCTTCCTTTCGTGGGGTTAGAGGAGGTCTGAAGATGCGGCCTCCCTGCCCCTTTGGCATCCTGTTTTCTGTTTCTTTTCCTTTTTGTTATACTTTCCATAACTTTATCTTCCAATTTTGTGTTTTCTATTATTGCTATAGTATTTTAGTTTTCCAGAGTTGTTTTTTGTTCTTTTACTTAAGTACCCACCCATCCCCTTTATTTTTTTAATAGCTTCCTGTTCTTTTTTTTTTTAATTGTGATTTGGGTGAAGATTTACAGAGCAAATTGACTTCCATACAGCAGTTCACATATACTTTGTCTCATGTCATTGACCACAGTCTACCACAATGCAACAGCTCCCCTCCCACTTCCTCCCCATAGTTACCTCTTCCCAGTGTCCATCCCTCCATATACTCTTGCCCCCTGAGCTGTCTCCCTGTGCATAAGCAGCCCTTCTTTTTCCCATGATTGTTCTCTCCAAGGAGTGTATCTACTTGAGGTAAATGTTTAACTCACATGCCTGTACTTTGTTTGGCTGGAAACCACAGGTGTGGGTTCAATTCCAGACCTGAAGAGCAGTTAGGGGCGATAGTCTCAGTGGCTCCACCAGGCTGTATCGGACCAACAATTCTGGTCCCCCCCACCTTTTTTTTTCTCCTCCAAATGATTTTGAGTTTTGTTCCACATTGTTCTCCCTCTCTATCAAGGATCTCCTACATAGATCCTCTTCCAAGTGGATGACAGTGGTAGCCGGGCACCATCTAGTTCTTCTGGTCTCACAGTTGTATAGGCTGCAGATCGGATGGATGGTGTACCAGTCGCTAGCACTAATTGTTTCCATGAATTTTGGTTTTCTTCATTCTTCTTGCTCTGGACGAGGAGAGACCCATTGTTGCATCTAGATGGCAGCTTGCTAGCTTTTAAGATCCCAGTCGCTACTCGCCAAAGTAGGAGGTGGAACAATGTTTTGTACAGTATGTTATGCCAATTGAGCTTGATGTTCCCTGCGACTATGGTCCCATGCCCGCATGTTCAACTACTCTGGTCCCTCTGGGTAGCTGGTTGTGACCAAGCAGTGACCACAACCTTGCCTCTTGTCAGCTCTACTATACACCTGGGAATTCTGATCATTCACATAAACATATAAGACCATTGTCTGCCAACCCTATATATGTTCTTGGATACACTCCCCATTTCATAGACATACCTAATCATTTAGCCTGTCCACCCATCTATCCATCTATATACCCATGTTTGCCTTCACTGACAACGCAGTACTGTATGTGCAAGAGGGTTCATATTTGTTGTCTATACCTCCCATGTACCTCTCTATGTCTTTCTCATCCACGGTGTTGCCATATTGGTCACTCACATTTGGTACATTGCCCTTCTCTTCACCCAAATCAATACTTATCTCTATCTGTCTAACAGCGTTCCCTCCCCTCCTCTCTCACCCCTGGTAACCAACAAAGAACATTCCCTTTCCTTAACTTTTACAATAACAGACTAATACAATATTTGTCCTTTTGTGATTGACTTATTTCACTCAGCATAATGTCCTCCAAGTTCATCCACATTATGCGGTGTTTTACAGATTTAATAGCTTCCTGTTCTTAATATATTCTTTGTAAGCTCTCAGGGTGTTAATCGTGGTTTGTTTTTGAAATTTTGATGTACTTCGTGCATAGTTTATTTTTCTTCTTGGGTCTCCCCTCCCCACCCACCCACCCAATTCCTTTATTTTTTGTGTCTGTCTTTCATACTAGAGCTTTTTCTCAACTATCTAAAGAATTTGATTGTTTGTATTCAAAAGTGAGGGACTACAATGATTGGAAGCTGAAGGGCTGGCGTGAGGGAATGTCATTAACTGGTAGGCTTCATTGGACAGGTCCCAGGTAGTTTTATTGGGAAATCTCCTTTACCAGTACCTGTAGGTCTTTTGGGTTGATCATCATCTGTAGACAGAAATCCTCTCATGTTCTTCCTAGGGGAGTGTCTTACTGCCCTCATTCTTGGAGTATCCAGGAGCTAAATGGGAGATGAGACCGAGGTGAGAGAGTCTCCCCATTTCGTAATCTGCCTGTATAAGGATCATTCCTCATCTCCACCTCAAGCTCATATTTCTCCTTATTTCTGTTTCTTCAACTGCCTCTTCCCTACCTAATATCATCAGCCACAAACCTCGTGGTCATTCTTCATCCCTCTTTCCTTTATCCTCCACATCTAAACCATTAGCAGATCTTACTGTATTGGGGATATCCATTTCTCTCTAGCTTCATGCCGTTACCTTTATCCAAACCACTGTCAACTGTTGCCTATACCGTGACAACAGCTTTTTTTGCTTCTTTCTGCTTCAGCTCTTGTTCCCTTGTGATTTGCCTTCTACATACAACCAGTTTTTTTTTTAAAGAGCATAAACCAGAGTTTGTCACTTCTCTGATTAAAACCCCTCATTGTCATCCCATGCTTTCCAGAGCCTACTATGTTTTTAATCCGGCCCCTGTTCCTCTCTTTTAAACCACTTACTGCAGGCTGAAATTTTATTTTTGTTTGCTTACTTTGCTATTTTTCCCTCAAAAGAACATTGTAAACTCCATAAGGGTAAGGAGTTTATAAGACTACTATATCCCTGGTCCTTGAGATAGTACCTGAAGTACTCATTCAACAGTTTATTTTGTGGCTCTATGTACCAAGCAGTATTGTAGGCATTGTGAAAACAGTAATGAATAGCAGAAATGGCAACCATCCTAATGGAATTTACACTGTACTGGAGGAGACAGAACATAAATCGGATAAATAAATTAATATAGTGTCAGGTAGTAGAGCTCATTTAAGGCCTTATGTACTATCATGAGGTGCTGCAGGAGGCACACAGTGGTTTATGATAGGTAAGGTTGGTGATGGGTGTGACCGCAGTATGGCTGTGCTGAGTTTCCTGACAAGCCTCTTGTCAGTAGAGCTAACTCTGTGGGTGTGGGAGCCTCAGGATTTATCTGTCTTTCCTCTCTTTGGCCCATCTCTGTCATCAAAGCCTGCTGCTTACTACTCTACCTGTTCCAAGTTCACTTCATTATAAGTGGGCAGTCATTGCTAATCAGTCCATTTACATCTAAGGCCTAGCTTTAGAAGTATGGGGCACCCTTCTTATTGGCTCAACTTAATCTTATTTAGCTCAAGTAATCTGAGGAATGTTCTTATAGCATACATATGCTCAGAACTATACACTTACTCTAAAGCTCAAAGCCGTATATCTGTTTCCTATTTAACCTTTACTGTTACAAAGGACAATCATGGCAATATTCTTTAGAAAACTTCTCAGTGACTCACTAGATGATGTCCTTAGTTACTCACAGATACTTTTTATGTTTTTCATCGTTGTAGGAACATGTGGCAGCATGTATGTGATCCTATTGAATGTGCTATATATAAGAAGTTTTCAGAATGTTTTGTCAAAGAGCATTCTGCAAAACAGGAACATTTTTTATCTTTTGCAAAGGTGTTAAGACTCTTCAGTTCTGACATTCTTAGTGCATTAATGTGTTTTCACAGGATTGATCTTTCATACATGAGTGTTAATGGTTTTTCCATCCTTTATTCAGATGACATGAAAATGGAGACCGATATTAAGAGAAACAAAAAGAGTCTTCTGGACCAGCATGGACAGTACCCAGTATGGATGAACCAAAGGCAAAGAAAAAAGCTGAAGGCAAAGCGAGAGAAAAAGAAGGGAAAAAACAAAGCAAAAGCAGCAAAGGCAGCAAAAGGTTTAGCCTGGTAGACTTAAAAACTTAAATAAATGCCACATGGGGTAGATGTTTGATTAAAATGTATACATTGATTTCAGCTTCCACCACATGAAAACTATTTATTTCTGTATTCTAACTTGGCCTTTTTCTTTGATTTGAACCCAACATAACTCAAGTTTGTTTTGGGAACTTAATTAAAAGATTTTCTTTAGTGAATGAAAGCTATACTGGTATTTTAATTAGATGTTCTCCAGTTTCCATGTGTTAACAGACAGCAAAATTCTGTCAAGTATTAATCTGTTTGTAATTGTTCTTACAACTTGGTAATTACAGTCAGTAAATACAAAACAAATGATCTTATACTGACACGTTTAAGCTAACTCACATTTACAGAAAGCTATAATGCAAACATAATTGTTAAATGTAAGTCATTGGATCTTACAATCAGTGATTCTTTGGAGTTTGAATTTTGTATAATTCAGAGTAAGTGTAGAAGGAGTGTAAATCTTGAAGTTTGACTTTTATCTTTAATAAATGGTTAAGAAGTAATTTTCCCATAGTAGAGAAGACAAGCTTCTTTAAAGTCTTAATTTTTAAGTAGAATATTTTAGTTTTTACAAATCAGTGTGCTCTATGATTTTATTTGAGAACTAGTTTAATGTTACTCAGTTTTCGTACTGTGTAGCCTAATATAGTATAATGCAACATATCCCAAAGTATGTTGTTAAGGATCAGTTCCTCTGGGTGGTTGGTGAAAAAAAAATTTGTGGTCACGGCAATTTGGGAAATGCTACATACTTGAAGAATCACCATGAGTATTAGCAGTAGTCTGTACAGATCTAGCAGCGAAGCAACCTGTTTAACTGTGACTCCTAGAAACTAGTCTTCTGAGGACTAGGATATACTGTTGGAATAGCTAGTCTAATGAAATGATTTTTAATTGAGCCTTTCTTGCTATAGTTTTCTAAGTACACTCAATTTAAATTTATTTTCAGTTAAGCAGTCTAAATTTAGCTTTATCCCTCAAATTTCACCATCATCCAGTTTGTTTACTGGAACAACAAATACTGAGTCCTGTGTGTTGAGGGCTTTGCCAGGTGCTAGGGACGCAGAGTACAAGACAGTGTGCCCTCATGGGACTGACAGCTGGGCAATGGCTCAGAAGAGGATGCCAACTTCAGAGAACAGCCAAGTTAGAAATGAGATTCCCTTGAATGAGGTCACTTGGTCATCAGTTCATATACTTTGTGTCAGGCACAATATTAAGAGGAAATGACCCAGATCTTTAAAGAGATTTGAATCTATTTTAATGCCAGTAAAATCTTGAAGTTAATATAAGAGACTTCTCAATTTACTCAGTGGTTAATTTACTGAAAAGTTATAGATAATTTTGAAACATATTGAGCATATTTTCTCTTTCAAGAAAAAGAAGCTAAGAAGATAGGAGCTAAAAAAAAATGTTGTTTGTAGCCTTTTTTTCTCCTTTTGGTATGGTAGTAAATAGCAAATAGACTTTGTGGGAAAATGTGAATACACAAATGTTTACTCAAGAACTAAAAAGTTGCTAAATTATCCATTGACAATATTAGCCTGAATACACTAGCTCTTTTTTTTTTGCTTTTCTTTCTAGGAATTGTCTGCACCATTAACGTTACAGACTTAGCACTTAGATAAATTTGAGCAGCATTGTCAGGTATCGTCTAACTGGATTTTCATTAAGGTGAACTGAGAGACCACTGCTAGGGATGTCTTCTTAGGTTCTGTGGCTGACAACCTCTAATCGACTCCACTAATAGTAGCTTTGAGCACTTTCAGGGCCTCTTGATGATGTTAGGATATTTACTTAAGTTTGTCCAATCATGATTTAAAAGTTACCAAAATAAAGACCAAACCACCACTATCAAAAAATTCATTTGGGAAACGTTCTCGAGTGTCATGACCTCTGGAAAGGTGGCTGCTGGAAAGAAGTGTCTCGTACCATGTCATGAGTGGGTTCTTTTAGGTACTGAGTTCACTGCCAGCAAGATTCTTCCTACTCTCAAATTTTGACAGGAAAGTTAGACTGGTGTTCCAAAATTAGGGCAGGAGTATGTTTAAAAGATGATCACTGTTTGTGGCTTTAATCCTGAAGATGATACATGTCAATTTAATCTTTTAGATGATTTGCTTGTTTTTTTAAATGTTATAATCCTTGTATTTCACTGATGTTTTTCCAGAGAATTGTGTAAAACCACCAGATGGAGCTCAAGTAAAGCACAAAATCATTCTTAAAATTGGTTTGAATGGGCTAAATCACATTAGGAATTGAATGTAACATTTTTGTTTGTAAAGAATTTAAATGTAAAATATCGTTTAAGGATCATTGAAATTACTCACATTTATTGATTGCTTACTCTTGTTGGGCCTTGGTCTAAATGATTTAATTCTAAACTATTTAAGTGTTTATGCTATCTACGTAGCAATCCTGTGAGTTAGGCACTAATATTATTTAGGCGTGGGGAAATGGAGGCACACAAGTCATTTAGTGAAGTTTGGGAGAGAAGTGATTCAAATTCAGGTAGTCTGGCTCCAGAGCCCATACTCTTAACAGTGCCATTCTGCTTCTCAAGGATGAGCGAATTCTTGCTAAGATAGAAAGGGAATTTTAAGGTGGTATGCCTATTTTTGAGTCACTCCTTCCCGGAGTGGTGTGATGCAGCCTCAGAATCAGATAAAGAGTAGGTTTCAGTAGAGAAATGATTTATAGAACCCTCCTCAAATCTAGACCTAAACCAGACTGGAGTTCTGCGGATAGCACTCCCTTAGGAATGGCCTTTCTCAGTCCTAAAGGTGAATTTATAACCCATGATCAGTGATACCCAAGCCACTAATAGAGAAGAAATGCAAGCTCCAGGTGAAGCTCTAAAGTGGAGGCAAGTAATGGTTTTGATCACAATTTTTTTTTCTCATGTCACATTGATGTAGATGTGTTTTTTTCCCATTAGTTCTCATGCTGCCTGAAGTAAGTATGCTGCAGTGTATTTGTGCTTGTAAGGAAATTTTTATATCTTCAAAATTTGAATCTGTCTATGTGGGATACGATTTTTAGAAATAGGAAAAGAAAAAAACAATGCTATAAATTACTTGATTTATATCTGTGAAGTGGATTAGTGGTGAGGGGTAGTGGTATATAGTTTAGACTAGTGAAATACTAGCCACAGAATAAAATAAAAACTTAGGAGGAGGCTAAAGAGACCTCAAGAAATTCCCAAACTTATAAATGCTGCAATTGAGGTACAGGCGTTAGGACTGTTTATGAAGTTTGCTAGGTAAGTAAGTAACTAACTTTTTTAGTTGTTCTTTTTACTTTTTGTGATTTGAGTGAAAGTTTACAGAAAAAATTGGTTTTCCATTGAACAATTAATACAGATTTTGTTTCATGACATTGATTGAAATCCCCATAATTTGACAGCTCTCTAAATCATTTACTTCTGATGCCACCTGGTAGTTATGCAAATTCAGTCTAGACATAAAATATAAATGTCTTTCCCCTGTAATTGCCAGTATATAAAAACACCATTGCAGCAGACACCACCTACATAAGTAAATGGCGTGAGGAGAGGGGAGAATGGTGGTGGTAAGTGCCATTGAGTTGGTTCTGACTCCTAGCGTTCTTGTGTACGATGGAACAAAACATTACCCAGTCCTGCACCATCCTCAACAATTATTGCTATGTTTGAGCCCAGTGTTGCAGCCACTGTGTCAGTCCATCTTGTTGAAAGTCTTCCCCTTTTTCACTGACCCTCTACCAAGCATGATGTCCTTCTCTAGGAATTGGTCCCTCCTGAAAGCATTAAATTTCTAGCAGGGCATCCACCTGTAATTTTTCCCATTCAGCCCAAAGAAGTGGGATGAAGTGTCGCCAGCCTTGCTTCTAAGGATCATTCTGGCTGTATGTACTGCTTCCAAGATGGATTTGTTTGTTCTTCAGGTAGTCCATGGTATATTCGTATTTTTTGCTAAAATTGTAATTGATTCATCTCAGTTCATTGAGAGCTAGACAGTGAATAAGGAAGATTGAGGAAGAGTCGATGCTTTTGAGTTGTGTTGTTGGCAAAGAATACTGAAAGTACCATGGACTGCTAAAAGAAATAACAAATCTGTCCTGGAAGAAGTGTAGCCGGAATGCTCCTTGGAAGTGAGAATGGCCAGACTTTGTACCACCTGCTTTTGCTTTGGTCAAGTTGTCAGAAGGGACCATTCCCTGGAGAAGGATGCCATGCTTGGTAAAGTGGAGGGTCAACGAAAAAGGTGAAGGCCCTCAACAAGATGGATTGACACAGTGGCTACAATGATGGCTCAGGTATAGCAACGATCATGGAGCTGGCACAGGACTGGGCAGTGTTTTGTTCTGCTGTACATGGGGTCGCTGTGAGTTGGAGACAACTCAATGGCACCTAACAGCAGCAACATAATTCACATGTATCAACACTTCTGTGGTCATCCTTGTTCATTGTTCAGCTTTCACATACACATGAGGTGATTGAAAATACCATGGCTTGGGGTCAGGTGCACCATAGTCTTCAAAGTGACATCTTTGTACTTTAAAGAGGTCTTTTGCACAGATCTGCCCTGTACAATACATCCTTTGATTTCTTGACTACTGCTTCCCTGGGAGTTGATTGTGGATTCACTAATGGGGGTAGGATGGGGTGGTTAAGTACTCACACCAGCCCATTCTGCTATCCCAAGGGGACTGTCAGGCAGCCAGAGGGGCCAGGGCCTATTTGCAAAAAGAAGTCTGAATTTTACATCATTGAATGTATGTTTTAGAGCACAGGGAAAACTACAATGTGATGTTAAATTACACTTATCTTGGAGAATAATAGTAATAATAACACAACAGTCAGCATTTATAGAAATGCTTAATTATGTGCCAGGCATTGTGCTAAATGCTTTCCATGTATACTTACTTCATTTAATCCTTAAAATAACCATATGTTATCAATACACTTATTTTCCTATTTTCTGATGTGGAAACTGATCTTTGAAG